CCTTTTCCAAAAAAATTTCATTTTTTTTCGAAATCATCGTTTGTTCATAAAATTTTTAATTTTCACTTAAAAGATGCATTTTGAAAATTTTCAAAAATTTATTTTTCAAAATTTTCACTCAAATCACTCACAAAACTTTAAAAACAACCCAAAATAATATTCATGTCCAAACACAACTCTAAATTTCAAATATCATTTTCACTGGAAAAATGTTTTCCCCTATTTTGGAATTTTACAATTGTTATATCCAAACGCCCGCTAAGTGTCTCAAAATCAGTTGGCATTGGTCCATTTTCCATCATTGTTACGTTGTTCTGCCAATTTTAAGGTGTTACTTGTTAGTACTACTTTCCAGACAAGTGTATTCTTTTCTCTAAAACAACCCTTATCATGAGGCAAAGACCACATTTACAACTCGCCACAAAAAAAAAAAAAAATGAAATGAAAAAAGACCGCGATTGAATGAATAATATAGTACAAATTGGTGAGTTTAATTAGTAGTAAATGCCACCATTTCTTAAGCAAACTATTGTTTTGGAAATTTGATCCGAGTTGCATTGTCTCTTTTTGCATTTTCTTTGGGCTTTAATTAGTACATCTTTATGAAAAGGTTTGCTCACACATATTGTTGAGGAATTGAGCTTAATTGCTTTGCATCAACATTACAGCGAAGAGAACAAGAGATTTAATACGTGATGCTTTGAACTTGATTGATGTAGAATGGGATTATACTCTAAGCAGATGCAAAAGGAGATAAATTTATGGCCATGAATATGGCATATAGTTTGGTTACTGGTTATTACAGAAATACGATGCTTCTTCCTGTTATGTTTAGAATTTATATCTTTTCCTTATTCTCAATGTTCCAAGCACCTTATCTATTTCTTGTACATTAGATTGACCTCGACCGTAGGCCCTACGACACTGAAAACTCAGACATATGCACTACGCTGTCCTTTTAAAGAAAAATTAAGTTCTATTGACAGCACTTCCAATCCGTTGCAATCACCGAGGAGTAAAAATTGTGGTAAGATGGATATTACTACCTATCGTTTACTTTACTTCAATTATCCTATTTTGTTGGCGGATGTTACTGTTTCTCTTCTATTACATGTCATAACTATTGTGATTAAGTTTTCTTTTAAGACGGAGAACTTTCGAAACAAGATGTTATTGCTGTTATTTCTTGTTTTTTTTGTGGGTGGGCCAGAATGGTAGGTGTAGAGTCTAGTTATTCATTTTCAGATGGGAAAGAAAAGGGAGTAAAGGACAACTTTATTTCTTTGGCTTGTGGATAGATAGATGCTTAAGAGAAGAAAAGGAGAAAAAGAAGAGATAGAATCGTACATAAAAGTTACTCCCAGTAGCAGGCAGAAATAAGAGAAAATAAACTCAAACTAATAAAACTTTTTTTTGATACAATACAAGAAAAGATTCTTAATTAACGAATCTACACCAAAAATAAATAATTAACATAAAATAACATGTCTTTCCCATCTCCTCTTGACCTCTTTTTTTCATGTGCATGCATAGTCTCCACTTTCCACTTTTTGCTTTCTTTTTTTTGGTCAATGAGTTGACTCAAATTAATAAAACTTTTTTTTTATACAACACCAAAAAAGATTCTTAACGAATCTGCAACAAAAATAAATAATAACATAAAATAACGTCTTTCCTACTCCTCTTAACCTCACTTTCTTGTGCATGCATAGTTTCCACTTTTTCCTTTCTTTCAATCCTACAACTTCTTTTTTGTCAAATATAGCTCATTGGTAAAATTTAAGCTTTGGATCTTATCATAGACGTCCCTTATTACATTATATATATTTATATAAAGGCAGCTCAGTCAACAAGGCAGCTCGGATGCAGGCTTAGAGAAAGGGTCGCACCCCAAGATGTGTGATGTAGATAGCCTACTCTAATACAAAAATTAGTTGTTGTTTCACTGACATAACTTTACCGCTACTCCAAGACTCCCCGAGACTCCCCAACCTTGTTACAATTATCATCTTGTGAATTTTGCCACGATGTAGAACTTACGACTTTACTAGAGTACCACAAGCTCTGTATATAATAATTACCTCCTTGAGAAAGTTTTTGTTTGGGCAAATATAGGATTTAATTTCTCATGTAGTAAAGAGAAACACATTGGTATTTTGGCGATAGTCCTAAGAAGCAAAAACTATAAAAACATGTTTACACATTTTTGGGAGCAAATACTCCTGAACAAGTTAGCAACTGCAGAAACTTATGAATTATAACAAAAAAATATACAAAAAGTTAGAGCTTCATGCCAAAAGAATTTGTTCGTCATACCAAAAGGGCATCCATTGGAAAAAAAAATCCCAAAGGGCATTCAGGTTTAGCCATTATTATGATATAAAATGTTAGGTCAAAAAGATGGAAGTCTCTTTCTCAGTATTTGATTTGACAAACACTTACCCTTAAATCAATTCATTTGACAAGCAATAAGTCTTTGACGTCTATTTGGGAACCACTTGCTTTTCATAGTATGTACATCTTCCGTTAGCCAATAACCATAAGGCTTAAAAAACTCTCACCCAAAAAAATGATACAATTTTATATTTGAAAATAATTTAACTTTAAATTTATCATTTTACTTTTTGATAACCGTGGTATTCAAACCAGCTTATGCATCTCTCAACTAATTCCAACGAATAGCTACTACTTCTCACCAACAACAGGTATCAGGTAACTCTATCCACTAGGGCTTGAACAAAGTTAAGATTACAATATCAAAAGTCTTCATTTCTTTCTAAAACTTCGAGCCGAGTCAAACAATGTTACATATATTAAAATAGAGGAAGTATATATTCAACTTCTTTAATATTCTTCTTGATTCATTATTTCTCTTGATTTTAATGCCATTTGAGATGCATGATTCCACCCAAAAAATAAAAAGCAAAACAAAAATAAAAACAAAGAGAAGATGTGTTAAAATGGGTCTGACTTAAATTGTCCTTTGATTCTCTTAGCAAGAATGAGGGACCTACAATTTATTATAAGTGGCCAACCATTACACCATTGACAGTCAACTCAAATGTCAATTTAGCTTCTTTAGTTTAAAAAATGAATAGTCTATGGCTTTTCGATGGCTGTTTGGGGTCCAACACTTCACCAGAACTAAACATCCTTTTCTAATAGCTTGGAGTGTTCACAAAATCATCAGACCAGAAAAGATACCCTCGGAAAAAGCACATACTAGTACTAGTATATAAAGGCTTCAAAATGCTTGATTTTTTATCTATAAAAGAATAATTGGATGAAAAGAGCATATAAGTAAGGACTATAGGAATTACAATCACAGCAGAAGTATAACGACAATTTCGTCAAACTCAGAACTCACAAGGTTTAAATCCTGAATCTGCCACGGTTGACTGGTTTTATGAAATCAGGAGGAAATGAAAGAAACAAGTAATATAATTTCTTACCAACTGACCCCTAAGTATTCTAAAAGGCAATACCAAAGCAAAATGCTGCCATGTCCACTGAATAAAACATCCATGTTATGGTACAGCTGAAAGTGACATGAACATTAATACTCAAAAGAGAATTGGCCCCCCTAAGTACTTCATCTGTGGAAATTGCATGTGAGCTGCAGTTGGGAAAATCCAGTTAGGAGTAGCCCCTCCACATCCTTCACAAGAAAGCAGCATAAATGAACCTTATTCCTGAAAATGTGACAGCTAAGTTTGGTTCCTAAGACATGGGGACAAGAGTTTGTTCTACTCTCCTTAACCACCTATAATTTCTCTCTCCCCCCTGCTACTATGCTCAACTATTTTCTAGTAGTAGTACTAAAAGAGGTTCTTGAATTATCCTTGTATTCTTCCTTCTTCTAGCAATGTCCTAAGCAATTATTGGTGCTATGGCTGCCCCTGACTTTAAGTTATTTTGCTGGGAGATTGTAATAGTAATTATACTAGAGAGCCTTCTTGTCAACAAAGTCCAGCTAAGATGAGGTTTTCACATTCCAAACCTCAAGAACTAAGCCTGTCACTAATCTATCCCTAAGGCATGTCATAAATGTTATGGCATTTAAACTTTTTCATCTTTTATAAGCAAGTAAAACTGTTCATTCGAATTTCCTTGCAAAATATTAAACAATTGAAAAACGAAGCATCAAATGGATGACGGACCCTTAAGTGTAGGTTACTTGACACATTTTTTAACAGATAGCTTTTAGCTAAATAAAAAGCAGCCCAGTGCACAAAACATCTCGCAGGGTGCGAGGAAGGTCCGCACCCAAGGGGGTGTGATGTAGGCGACATACCCTGATGCAAGCATCAATAGTTGATTCCACGGCTCGAACCCATGACCTATAGGTCACACGGAGACAACTTGACCGTTGCTTTAAGACATAGTTTTTAGCTAAATATCCTCCAGTTTTCTACTATTTCAGCCTCGAAAAAACATAACTAATTTCCTCAAGGTTCCCAAGTCCTTTAACTTGTTCTAGGAACAAGCACAGCTCAACCTATTTAGCGGCTTCTAATTCCCTCGTCAAGTTTTCATCCTTCTACAAGGATTTAAGTACATGCGGGTAATTTCTAGCATTGGAAAGCAACCTACAACTTTATAAGAAAGCAACCTTTTGACTAGGAGAAAAAAGGGTTCACACGAAAGAACAAGAGCTATAGCAGAGTTCCATTACTTGAGCTTCACTAACAAGTTCCCTCTCACATAGTTGAAAGCATAAAATTTGAAAACCAAAGCATTTATCTTTTGACCATCAACTTTTATTATTTTATATAGATGGAGTTTCTTTTAAGGAAATACAAATTACTTGTCACTAATTAGCGATTACATTGAACTAATTTAAACATATAGAGACAGAAGGTTCCTGGCACAACCTTCCTCATTGGTGAACATCAAGCACTGAGCCTTAGTAACTGCCACCAAGTTATGTGGTGCGAGTGCTTCTTTGATTAGGATGGTGTTAAAGATGGTAACAGCCTAAATGATCACAAAATGGGGCATCCATTGACCAATTTATAAATCAATGTTAGCTTATGCAAAACATCAAAGTTGATAGTACTAAATGTAACCACAAAGAATGACAAGAGTACACAATGATGCATTATATGTGGCTCCACCTGAATAAAATTCTCATCCAAGAGTTAACGATGAGGAGACTGTTCCTTTGGATAAGCCAACTCCTCCATCTGCCAGCTTTCATGGGGAGCAACATGGTCATGTGAAGGAGTATATTGCTGCAAATTGAAGAACAAGATAAGACTCATCAGCAAAACGCGTAAATAACAATAATTTGACAACACAACTCATATGAATGGAAGGTGGACAAATTAGTAATCAATTCCTGCCACAAGGCATCAAAATTTCACATTTTAACGTTATAGAACAAGTGATTACAAAAGGAATGAGCAGAATCCAACAGTACGAATATTCTTTAACCTTACATACAACAGGTGAACTGCAACTACTTCTCTAGCTACAGAAGTTTTCATTCCCATAGCACATAGTTGAGCATTGTTTTATCTTCACCTTTAATAGGTAAATCCATAAGTGGTTACATAGCAGATAAAATCTCAGTAGTTGGAACATCCAAAGACACTTTACAGACCTTAATAGTATGTATTCTCTACGTCAGTCAAAGCTTTATATGCTGGATTGATTTTGCTTGGAGTAACGATGATGATCATACTGATGAAATAAAAGTGACCAAACTCAAAGACTGATTGAATAAGTTTGAAGAACATAACAAGCGAATGCATGATTTAGATTCATCAAAAACAAATACGTGGAAATTAGGTAAATTCAGTACCTCCATCTTGCTTAAAAGCTCTCTGGCTGTAGGAGCAGCAAGAACAATGTCACGAGCCCCTGGCTTGATGAAACCTTCTTCAACACCATTGTCAAATAGTGTAAGCAAAGAATTATAATAACCCTCAACATTTAGCAAACCAACCTGCACAAGAGGTTAAGATGGTCAAAGATCTTACAGCCAACTATCAAATTATACCGAATGTAATGCTATAGATACCGGTTTTTTGTGAATTCCAAGTTGTGCCCATGTTATCATTTCCAGAGTCTCTTCCATGGTTCCATATCCTCCTACCACATAATAAAAGCAATTTGACAAGAGTTTGAGAGCATATGTATCCCAAATGTTCTCTTACAGATAGCTACCTGGAAGTGCAATAAAGGCATCAGCTTGACTAGCCATTTCAGCTTTCCGCTCATGCATGTCCGAAACAATCTTTACATCACCAACACTTTCACCTGATATCTGTCAGTGCAACTCACGTTGAAAGTAACTATTTCAATCGAAACAACTTCACAGAATGCCAAATGAAGAGTTCTACCATTAAAGAAAGTTATTTCTGACTATCAGATGCTGCACCACTCAATCACTTCCAGTTAACTGTGAGCATAAATACCTTTTATGCAAGAATCATTAATCTGCAGTTTATCTGGATGACGTATTCGAATTTCCATGTTTTTACCTCGTTCAATGTGAGATGAAACTCGGATTAATTTTTGAACCACTTTGGCACTTGAAAGCTATTAGTAATTAGGCATATCGAACAAAACCATTTTATACCAATGATAACATTTCAGCAAAAGAAGAACTCCAAGCAAACAGAATATATGAGATAATATAACAAATTGGGAGAGAGAGAGAGAGAGATTGTAGCTTAGAGTCTTAGACAAATGTGAAATTTGAGTTCAAATTTTCAGCAAAATAGAACCTCAAGAAAAAAGAAAAGCAGTAATATAAAAACGATTCAGATAACTTAGCCCCTCAAGAAAAGAAAAAAGAAAAAAGAACAGTCAGAAGAACAGAGATGGAAGCTCAAACAAAGTGCAAAATTTGAGTTACAAGTTAATGTCCACATACCTCAATAGGAACAAGAGCTTTTGGGATGACCCTGCATGTTCAAAGCAATCAAGAATGAGTAGAAATTCTACAGCATAACTTACAAAATAAACCTCGCATACAATTTGCCATTGTAAACTTTAGAATTTCAATATTTCACTTACCCAAGGACATGGCAACCTCCCTCATAGACTCTCTGGGAAATCAACCCCATCAATCCAACACTTCCACCACCATACACCAAGTCAATCTTCCTACTTACCTGCAAAACAACATTATCAAAGTCAAAATAAGACTACATCAGTATAATATGCAAGTCACTTTCATAATGGGATAACACTTCAACAATGGTAATAGCTACCTATAAAAAAGTCAATGCCTAGTTGCCTACAGTACAACCAAAACAAAATCAACATATTTTTGCAAAAAGTTGGAAACTTTAAGTCAAAATACTTCTGTTATCAAACAAAACTTCACATAAACAATTCCCAAAATTCACCCAAAGCTAAAATCTTGAAAGTTGAAACTAAAGAATTCAAAGCAGAGAGGATTCAAGAATCAAGACTAACCAATTCATTCCCCAAGTCAATAGCAGCATCACTGAAGACTTTCCTATGGCCAGGATTGCTTCCACAGAAAACACAGATTCTCTTAAACTTGCTTCTATTATTGCTTTCCATTGAAAATCTTTCAACTCCTTTTGAGTTTTGATTCAATCTCCCAAAAAAAGAACTCCCCTTTATCTTCTTCTCCACACTCTCTCACCTTTTACAGAATCTCTCTGTACGGCCGCTGTATGTGTAAAATGGAATAAGGAAGAAATAAAAACAAAATAAAAAGGAAAAGAGTGACACACAAGACAAGGTAAAAGACAATTTAGATATTGCTTAGATTGATGAAAAATTAAGAAGACAACATAAGATAAAGAAATCAACAAGTCTTTATATTAATTATATGTATGATGTAGAAAACTCATAAGACGCCCCCACATGCTTTTTAGTGATTAAATTGAACAAGTAAACCATTAAAAAACTAAGTAATAATCTATAATTAAAAAATTAATACTCCTAATAAGAAGTATTAAGGAGGTAAGTACTACGTACCATGGAGAGGAGAGTCAGATTTTCATGATTATAAAGAGAGAAAAACAAGAAAAAAAGGGGAAAAAAAGGTGGTATTTTTAAATGATAAAATTCCCAACAATTGTAAAGGACAAAAGCATTTATTAAGGCTTCTTATGCCTTGTATTTTCTACCTTGGGAAATAGTTACCCCTCATGTGTTCAACAATTTTAGACCACCCTACTTCCTAGGAGTTGATAGCCTATAATTGGAAGTGTTATTTTCATTCAAAAGAAGCAAAACAAGTGTCAAAAGTCAAAACTCTTTGATTAAGTAGGTTGGTGTACACTTGTTTCAACCAAATTTTTACTCCAATCGAAGGTTACTTTGTCTCTACGCGGATTTCAAAAAAATTATATAAGGTATTTGTAGACTACACAGGCTCTTCCGAATTTTGTTTCATAAAACTGAAACTGGATTCTCTGTGTTCATTTTATAACGCAAACCATCGAGACGCATTATGTGGTTGCTTGGTAGGATGTATTAGGGAAATAATAGAAGAATCATATAGACAGCTGCCCAGTTAATTTCTTAAATTAAATATAGTCGATATATGTGTATTATATATGTATAATTATATATAATTAATATATAATTTATGTATACCGACTAAAAGAGTAAACATTAAATCTGCCCAGCTAATTGTGTAACAATCCCAAAATAATACGTGTATTAGCTTTAGTATTATTAATCCCTTATTTAGTAATATATTTGTTTTAACATATGTGTTAGTTATATACCTTATTCAATACTATTCTTATACATAATAAACCACAGCATTAGAAATACCATAGTTTTTAATACATGAATAAGTATGTATAAAGATAAAATTGCCCTTTTTAATTCTTTTTAACACATGTGGAGAGTATTTTTGTACACAAATAATTATATTAAGAATATTATGTCATGCATATTATTTATAATACACCAAACTAAACAGTTGATACGAAATAATCTCAACATAAGTAATTCCATCATAATTATCACGTCATTACTAATACACCATTTTCAGTACTATTCTTATACACCCTACCAAATGACCCCTAAGATATTATCAACCGCTAACTACTAAACAAATTAAAGTTTGTAATGACACTTAAAAGTTTAAGATTATTCATTTGAAATTTGAATCAAAAGGATGAATATTATGGCGTGTTAATAGTTGCAAGCAAACAAGAACTTTACGAGCAAAATTTACTGATTATTTCAAATGCATAGCATCTCATGATAGCTTAGAATTAACGGTGATAGTACTAATTTCTTGAGATTTAATGATATCTATAAGCTCATTTAAAGAAATAAAATAAATATTATTTTTGTATTCGTTACAAAGAAAGTTCTCGGAGAATATATTTACTTCTTGAAAATTTTATGGTTCCTTTGGATGGACACATTTGAATTTTAAAGGGATTCTCAATGAAAGGTTGAATACATTTTGATTGGAGAGATGATTCAAATATTATTTGAAATGAAGAACTGTTATTCCCGGTCAGTATTGCTATATTTATAAATATTAATTCTGCAAAATATAAGTTAACGTAATGAAACAATAATAATAAATTCG